ATTGCTGGTGTCTTCCTCTGTGAAAACTGATGCAAAGTACCTATTCAGTCCCCCGCCATTTTATCCCTATTACTCATTCTCCAGCCTCACTTTTACTGATCTAATTTCCATTTGTGCCCCTCTCTTACCTTTTAGATATCTTAAAAGAAACTCTTGCAGTCTTCTTTTACATTACTATCTAGCTTGCGCTCATATTTTGTCTTCTTGCCCTTTTTTTAGTTATCCTCTACTGATTTTTAAAGGCTTGCCAATCTTCTGGTTTTTCACTAATCTTCACATTGTCTGCTTTTTCTTTTGCTTTAATGCTGTCCCTGACTTCGCTTATCAGCCACAGTGCCTTGTCCTCCCTGTTGTATGTTTCTTCTCTGGAAAGAATTTCTGCTGTGCCTCCTGAATTATCCCCAGAAACTCCTGCCATTGCTGCTCCACCATCTTCCCTACCAGGCTCCCCTTCCAAGCAACTCTGGCCAGATGATCCCTCATGTCTTTGTAGTTACCTTTACCGAACTGTAATACCATTACATCTGATTCCAGCTTCTCCCCCCCTCAAACTGTAGGGTTAATTCTATCATATTATAGCCACTGCCCCCTAGGGGTTCCTTTACCTTCAGCTCCCTTATCAACTCTACCTCATTACGTATCCCCACATCCAGAATTGCATTGGTCAGTCTGTGTTCGAGCAATCAGCCGGTACAGAGCTGACTTCAATGAAGTTAGAATGGTGTAGTACCAGATAGATTGGCATCAAAAATGGTGGGAAGCCAATGGGCCAGCTTCAAAGAGAAGATAGAAGCATAGGATAAACAAATCCAGAGCCCTCTGGATAACAAAGGAATATCAGTTGAGTTAAAGAAGAAAAAAATGAGCTTATGACCGTTTGGGTTGTAAATATTGTTGAAAAACAAACTGAAAGCATTAAGTTCAGAAAGGACATAAAAAAACCTTCAACAGGAGGAGAGTGAATCATGACAGACTAATATAAAAGGAAATTCTGATGTGCTGTATAAGCACACAAATAATGGAAGGTGATAAAGGCTATCAATAAAAGGGATTTGCACATGGAGGCAAGAGACCTGGCTAAGGTGTTAAGAGGCACTGGCCATAATCTGTCAGTCTTCCCTGGACCAGGGGTGTTGCCAGAGGATCGGACAATGGAAACCTTGCACCCTTGTTCAAAAACAGTTGTGAGGGTGGGCAAGGCAAATACAGGCCAGTCAAGTTAAATTTGATGGCGGGAAAACTTCTGGAAAATAATTATTCAGAGTAGAATTAATAGTCACGTGGAAAAAGAATGGGTTAACTGTGAGGAGTCAGCATGGATTTGTTGTGAGAAAATCATACCTATCTAACTTGTTGGAGATGTTCAAAAAGGTAATCGAGAGGGTTAATGAGGGCAAGGCCATTGATATGGTGTGCATTCAACACCGTGCCATACTTGTGAAGAAACTTAGATCATTAAATAAAAGGGACAGTATCAACATAGCAGATGATGGGAAGAAGGGCATAATGGTACATGGGTCTTTTTCAGACTGAAGGAACCTGTGTGGTTGGAGTATGCAGGTGCTGAAATTTGCTTCACCTGACATCTGTAAATTATATAGATCATGGCATGGAGTGGACAGTTTCAAAATTTGTGGATGATGAAACCTGGAAACATTGCAAACTGTGAGGAGAACTTCAAAATAATAAGTTGGTGGGTGAACGTGTGCATAGGTGGCAGATGATGTTCAATGTGGAGAAGTGTGAGGTGATATATTTTTGATACAAAGAGCATGGAGAGACAACATAAAATCAGGAGGTGCGTAACATCAATTTGAAAGGGCGTGAAGGATTAGAGAGAACTGCACGTACGTGTGTATAGTCAGTAAAGGGGGCAGGACAAGTAGAGAGAACTATTAATAAAACAGAGTATTCATTTACTAGGGACATAGAGTACAAGAACAGGAAGGTTATGATGAACTTGTGTAGGGCCTTGGTTAGAAGTCAGCTGAAGTACTGTGCACAGTTCTGGCAGACCCACTTTAGGAAGCATGTGGCTACATGGGAAAAAGTAGAGATATTTACGGGAATGATTCCAGGGATGAGAAAGTTTAGTTAGAAAGAAAGTTTGGAGAGGTTTGATTGTTTTCCTTGGAGAGGAAAAAGCTGAGGGGAGATTTGATGAAAGTTTTCGAAATGGTGATGGGGCTGGAGGGTGTAGAGGTGAAGGAACTGTTTCTTGTAAAAGGATCGCAAAATAGAGTGAGATCAGTTTAATGTATTTTGCAAAACAAACAAATGCGAGGTGAGAAAATACTTTTTCACACAGTGAGTAGTTTGGTTATGGAATGCACTGCCTGCAAATATAGTGGGGTCAAGTTCAACTGAGGCATTGAAGAGGGTATTGGATAATTATTTAAGTAGAAACCGTGTGCAGAGTTTTTGGCAGAAAGACAGGAGATTGACACAAAGACAAGATGCTTAGAGAGCCAGTGCAGCCAGTGGGCTGAATGGCCTGCACCATATCAATTCTATAGTTCTATGTTCCTGTGAAGGAGAACCTACAGACGGTGCAGGTGAAAGCCTTGCTAGTGCGTCCTCAGAGGGTTCAGTGGCTTCCTCCTCGGAGGCGGAGGTCAAGCTGAGGATAGGCAGGACTTCCCTTTGTTATGTGCTGAATTCCACTAAAACTGACATAAGAGAAGAGGGGAACTAATAGTGAAAAAGGGGGTAAAAGCTTGTTCAGAGTAAGAATGGGTTAATACTGGCATTAGTGCAGCACAATACAATGAAACTCACTTGGTGGAGCCACATGGAGGTCTCGGCTTCCTCACGATTGGTCACCCTGTTCTTTGGCCAACTGCAGCATTTTATCCTCACACAGGATGAGAAGTTTAATGGCTGCCACCTCACTACTGGTGTTGAGAGTCTTTTGATTTTGAGCAATAATGTGAAAAGAGCAATTGAGTTTGTGGGAGAGGTGTTAGTGGTGATGCAGGAGAGGTGACAGGTTGTCCTGAATGAGAGAGTAGGAAGCCCAGAGGGCAAGAATGTTGCTTGTCTGAGAGGATGAGGTGGGTGAGAATCATTGAGTGGACATGCTGCATGCGATAGGGGGAGTTGCAGTCCATTAACCTTGATAAGAGGTGTGTGCAGTCAGAGTTAGAGGGCGTTACGGTGACCCTGTGAGTGTGAGGTAGTAGGAGAAAATGATGGCACCCACTCTACAAGAGTGCCGAAGACCATTGACTTTCTACCTGCATTGCATTTGACCCTGGAGGCTATACTGACCTGGGCTGCTATCCCTGACCAGGCTGGTTCTATCTCATCCTGTTTCCTTCTATAATAGTCTAGCTCGGAACAACACAGCCCTTCTGTCAGCCAGCACATCTAGGAGCACCTCCTGTTCTCTGTGCAAAGGTGTAACAGCATGTTGTGAGAGGCAGTTGCTGACCTGAAGTGCCTGACATGCTGTGGAGCCAGGGTTCAATTGTGGGGCCAGGGGCATTAATGATGCAAAATGCCAACAGTGGTGGGCACTTCAGCCTGTCCTGCCACACAAAGGTGCTGAAGAGGCACCTTTCACCGTTCGTGAGCTGAACGGTGGACTTTTGTGTGAGAAAAGCCAATGCGGACCATGACTGGATGCTTGCCATGAATCTCCCCGAGGAAAGCACTTTACCAAAAGAGAATTGAGAAAATTCAACTCGGGTTGTGGGGGGGAGCTGTTGCCAGCCGTGAAGCATTGAAAAACAAGAGGGCTCAGGTTTCAAGTAATTGTCAAAAGAAGCAAAGACGATATGAGTAAATCTTTCTTTTTTTCAAGGTCTGGAGTACACTGCTTGAGAATGTGGTGGAGGCAGGTTCGTTGAAAGCATTCACTAATTGGGCTATTATCTGAGAAGGAAGATTGTGCAGGGTTACATGGAGGACATGGGGAAATAGTGCTAGGTGCATCACTAATGTGAAAAGTTGGTGTAGCCGCAACAGGGCAACTGATCTCCTCCTGTGCTGTAGGAATTCAGTAAAGCCAGACTGGCTGTAGGATAATTGCTGACCAGTTTTTGGTCGAGAATGGAGTGAAAACACCAAAGGTCCCAGCAGTATATGTCTAGCTTCTGTAGAATAGGTCATTTATTTTAAGCTTAAGAGAAGTGAAGTAATAAAAATGGAGTTAGCCTTCGATCAGTGGTACGAGTCATGCAGCTGAATGAAAAGGTCAAAAACAAAACACTTTTCTGGTCATTATTGCTGTTTGTAGATCTCGTAGCGTGAAAGCTACCTGCGTCTTCCAACATCAATTTATAGTTCAAAAATATCTCACGTTGGCTGTGAAGCATTTTGGAGCATTGTGAGAGGTTCAGTAGAAATGCAAGTCTTAAAAAGGTTCAAGCCAGAGCACTGAATATATCACATCTTGTCATTCCTTTTGAACATCACAAAATACTTGGTATAAATGACATTGTGTATTTAATATTGCTTGGGAAATTCACCACATTGAGTGAGCTGAATGACCAGTTTGTTTTGTCGGCAGAGTTGAGGAAGGGAGAAATGTGACTAAGCTACATGAATAGCTTCCTGCTCCTCTTCAAGTAAGTGCAAGGAGTCTTTAACGTTCCCTTGAACAGATGCAAGTGGCTTTGGTATAATGTCTTAATGATGGATGGCTCATATAACAGTGCTGCACTGATATGTCAAATCAAAAATACTTGCATTATTTCATAGGCTTCTGTTGCAGTGCACCTTGTAAGTTTGTACAGCATCATTGCAAATGCGAATTATAATCGTGAAGTCGTACTCAAACTGCAGCACAAGTAATCGTGATTCAAATAATTAAAATCAACTTCTTTTATGCTCCTGAATTATCTCAATGGTCAATTTGTCAGACCAATACTTTTCCCCTGTTCACTTAATTCTTTGTACTGCACCTGGCTGCACTTAAAGTCTTGAGTGAAAGTTTAATAAACCAGATCCACTTGATTTCTGTTTTACCTTATCTACTGTCCTTCCCTTTTATGAAGGTCTGGATCCAACTCAATTTCGAAGTCAATCCCACTGTTTCAAAGATGAAGAAAGTGATGCTCTGTTGGGTGGCCCAGCCCAGCTTACTGATGAGGAAAAATACCGTGATGCAGAAAGATTCAAGTTTGCTTGTCCAAGCTGTGGAACAGAAAACATTTATGATAATGTGTTTGATGGAAGTGTAAGTACTCGACTATATACAGAGAGAAACTCTCCTGTTGTCCTTTTTGTAAACGATCAGTTAGATACACCAAGGTGTAGATATGTAGGAATACTTTAGGAAGCATAACTAAACCATGTAGATTTAAAAGGCCCTAGGTTTGATCTCTGAGATAGCAAGAACTGCAGATGCTGGAGTCAGAAACCATGCAGTGTGGAGCTGGAGGAACACAGGCCAGGCCTTCAGCAAAGAAGGGTCCGGACCCGAAACATCAACTTTCCTACTCGTCTGATGTTGCCTGCCCTGCTGTGTTCCTCCAGCTCCTCACTGTGTTGTCTCCTAGGCTTGATTTGCAGTTTGTACTGAATTTGCCAATGTAAGGCAAGTCAATGTAGCAGGGCATTGCAGTTGACCGGAGTACTATTAGTAAGAATATGGAAACCAATTCCGCGTTCAAACTGTTGAGGAATCCGGGCAAGGAGAAAATTCAGTCCACATTGATACTGACAAACGACTGAAATCTAAAGATCTTCTGAAATATTCTTCTGTGGAAAAGATAAACCCTAAATCCCAGAATGCTATCACAACAGAAAAAGTGACTCTGCAATACTTGCATCCTGACTGGGAGTAATTACTTCTCTGTTTGAAGCAGAGTTCTTCGCAGAGTTTTCTAGTGAAAAGTTGGATGTCATGTGTGGTAACCAATTAGTTATTAGCTCCTGTAGAATACTGGGGTAGGTTGCTATGCAACTCTGGAAAATAAAAGTAGCAAACTTTTATACGAGCCAGTCTTCAAAATATTCATTCCTTCCCAACCTCCAAACTCGCTTTCATGAAAACAAGTCAAGCAAGTTGTAGGGCACCCCTCCATTTCATTGCTCACCGCATTCTGTTCTGCTCCATGTGTTTCACTCAGTAGCTGGAGGAGGCTTCTAAATGTGCTAAGAGCTGAAACTGTATTGGAACTTGCCTCTGTCGAGCAGAAACTTAGCATTCTAAATTTTTCTTCTACTGAAACTTGCAATCATAAGTTGGAGTTTCAAGCAAGGGAAGTGTCTTGCTTTTCCTTGACGATAAAATGAAATAGTGACTGAGGAAGAGAACATCACATCATTGTTCGAGGTTTAGTTCTTTAAATGTGAACATCATTTTCTGAAACTGTTCTTGCCACAAAGTATTAAAGCAGTTCTATTTTGGTGAGAAATGGTTTGAATTTATTGATGTGGCGAAAACTAGGATCACAAAGCTCTGCACGAAAATGTTCTCCAGATTCTTTAAAAAGAAAATAAAAGTACTTTCATTTTTAATATTGAGTCTTTATTTCTTATGGTTTCCCCTCACCACCTTACCCCTTGTTTATTTTTAGAAAAAATGCTCTTGACATTCTCTAGAATGTTGTCCTTCTCTGCCATCAATCACAAGAGGATGTGTTCTGTTCAGGCACTGGTGCCAAATATTGTTGACCTTGATTCTGAACCTAAAATTGTGGAAAAATATGTACTCATCCTCTTTTTTTTCAACATTTTGAATGCACAGTAAATTATGAGATTGGGCGACTTTGTAGACTTTGGATCTGAAAGCAAAGAAGCCCTTATCTAAATTAAAAGTAATTATTCTAAGTTGATGTAGCGGAGCAGCAGATGTTTTGGATTTTTTCAGTCAAAACAATCCGGTTGCTTAAGGAAGGTAAGGAGTAGGGCCTGGCACGGAGCAATAGTACTGAGCAAAATCCTTGACTTTTTGCTTCATTACAGCTGGAAACAAGATAGAGAGTTAATTGCGTGGACGTTGAGAACTTGCAGATGGGCTCACTATTCAGAGAGTGTATCATTGTAAGATTTCTTACACCTTCAAGTGAAACATATGAAAAAAGATCAATTTGAGCACAAAAGTCTTATTTACTGATTCTTGACTGTTTGGAAGTGACATTCTCTCCCATCACTAAAATGCGATGCATTATGATACTATATTTCACGTGTGTGTGTCTTCCATTTTGCATCAGGGGCAACAGATCCAACCCAGCTTGCTTCACTGCAGCAATATTGATTGTGAAGCGTTACCTATTCAGTATGAAGTGCAGATGCGTAACAAGCTAATTTTGGACATCAGGAGACATATCAAAAGATACTACAGTGTAAGTACCTGCAGAGCACTATAGAATCGAACCTTGTTGATGGCTCACTGATCAAAAACAAATCCTGTAGCTTTTCGGATACTTTAAGTGAATTCAACTGAACCATCATCTTCAGTCAGGCTGAAGAAAGCTTGAATGATGCTGCTTACACTAAGTGCAGGATAGCTATTGTTTTAAAAAAAAGTGCTTTAATTCCATGCATAGTATATTTGGTGCTGTTTGAAAATTGTTAAAACTGATGTATAAACGATGCCTTATTCTGCTGGTGAAAGGGAGTATGCATTGCAAATAAGCTTGTGCAGGAGAGGCATTAGCTTATCTAAACTAAGAAATGAATAGGGGATGTTTTCTGAAGCAGGAAAATTTCACCAGCTTGACAGTTGGCAGGCTGCCTGCTGCGTAGATTCATGAAAGCTAAGAATTACACTTTCATGAAATTTTCCTTACTAAATGCCCTGGTTAATCTGAAAGATAACCCACTGATTCAATTCATCCTTTGACTGGGCGGTGCTTGTTACATCTTCATTCTGACAAAGCATTTGTGTTAATCATTTGGCCCTCTAGTAGACTCTCCAGGGCTGGTGCTTTTAAAATAAATGTGGCTGTGATAGCTCTTTAGTCTATTACACTTACAATAGAAGCAAAGAACTGGTAATTATAAATTCTGTGCAGTGATTGTAAAAGAAAGTGAGAATGGATGCAGCTCTTGAGTGTTGTTGGGAAGTTTGTTCAGTTGTTTCCTTTTACTGGAGTGCCTGTCTTGGGCCTTTCTGTAAATACTTTGAGGCAAAGAACTGCTACAGGGAGGCAGCTTGAGGATTTATATTTTCCGACCGGAAAGCGAGCAGTACTTGTGTAACTGGCATTTTTTAATTTAAGTGTGTTACATTCGCCAGAATCAATTTTGGGAGAAACATGTTGTAAGGCACTAATTTGGAGCATCGTTATAGAAGGGTCATCACATTTGCTGAAGCCTACAATTATTCATTGCTCAAGGTTTACTTAATAAGAATGACTGGGTAAAGGGAGGGGTTTACCTAGTGTTCCTCATTTCAATACTGGTGTTCTGTGTTTTGGGAAAACTGTGATCAAGGTAAGAAAATTTTAAAAAAAAACAATTGAAAGAGATAGATAAGATGAGAAAGGATCCTGAGCACATTTGCTCCAGTTTGAAACTGCATTGTGGATTTCTAAACCCAAACAAGCCAAAATTTCAAAGCTTTCATGAGTTTTTGGCATTTGGCTTTCTTCATTTCCTGAAGCAGATCAGATGCATTGGAAGAGCAATTTATAATGTGAATCAACATACCACAAATTTGCTTATGGTGTCGGTGTCTGAGTCATAGGTCCTTCAGTAAGGTAAATCTTACCAGCTCAGCCTGACCTAGGTACACATCCTCTCCTTCCTCAGCCTCAATGCTTATGTGGCCCCACCACCAGCAACCAACAACACCCCCGCCCCCAACACCCAAATATTCCACATCAGGTTTCAACCGCTATCTGTCATCTGATTCCATCAACTTGTTTACATCCTTCCTAAACTTATATGCTATCTTCCTCACAGCTCATAACACTTCCAAGTTCTGTATCATCTGCTCATTTTGAAATTGTGCCCTGTGCACCAGGGTTTAAATTATTAATATATATCAGGAAAAGCAAGGTCCCAACACTGTTCCCTGGGAAGCTCCACTACAGACCTTTCCCTTGACCTGTGACTTAGCCCACTCTGTCCATGCCACTCATGAATGATAACTTTGCTCATGTGGCACAAATGTCTTTTGGAAGTCCAAAATCCCTTTAGAACTCTCTTTTTCAAACCTCTCCATCCACTTCACATAAACTTAATGCTGTAATATTTGCAGCAATTTTACACATTGCAATATCCCACAAACAGGAAAGAGATGAATGACCTGTTAATCTACTTCTGATGGTGAAAGGTTGACCAAGAACTCCAGTATCCTTGTGATGAATGGGGCCATGGGATCAATAACCTCAAGCAGCTGGTAGCCTGGTTTAGCATGTCTTTGAAGTCATTAGCTCTGACAACATTGCAGCCCTTCTTTATTGAATTGGCACATCAAGCTAGTTTATTTTCATTCTTTGAAGTAGATTATCAACCCAGCATTCCTAATCAGAATTGAAAGAATGACCAACTAAGCTAATTCATTGGAAAGTTGTTCCAACACTTTTCTTTTCCTGGTTGCAATGACCGATCTGCCACGATATGAAGATTGGCGAGACTTCAGATTAGTGTCAACATCCCTATGTTTTTCAAGATGCTAATCTTTAGTGACACACTTCCTTGACTGTAACACCTTCATGGCCTCTCTTGACTATTTTAACTAAAGGAAATTGTATTCTTTTTATAATGAATAAAATGTCAAGTGTGGAGTTGGAACAAGGTCACCATTCAAAATTGTTCAGTTCCAAATAAGAAGTTATTGCAAGTTTGCTTCAAGATCTTAGAGATTTGATATTTTATTTTGGCCTAGAACACAATTCAGATACTTTAAGACTGTGTGTCTTGCAGCTTTTGCCAAAATGTGTCTGTGGTCCACTTGCAACATACTTTGCTATGTGCAGTTTGGTCACCCTAAGTGCAAGTTCACAAGATTGATTTTAGGATGATCTGATTTATCCTATTTTGAAAAACTGAGTAAATTTGGTCTATATTTATTCTGAAGTTTAGAGGAATGAGAGTTGATCCGATTGAAACATATGAGTTCTGAACGTACTTGACAGGATAGTAACTGAGAGGCTTTTCCATGGGCTGGGAATCTCGAACATGGGAACACGATCTTAGGATAAGGAACTGGTCATTTGGAACTGAGATGAGAAGAATATCCATCTCTCAAAGTTATGAATCTTTAGAACTTCACACCCCAGGTTATTGTGGATGTGCTATCATTTACTATGTTTAAGATTAAAATATCAGATCTTGGAGAATTTAGGGTTATAGGGAGCAGCCTGTAAAATGGAGTTAAAGCTGCATGTCAGATGTGACCATAATGAATGGGAATGTCAGTTTGACGGGTTAAATGATCTTCTCCTGCTCCTATTTCCTGAGCTCTCATTAATGAGGCTGCTCCATGAGTCCATGTGGCATCACACCTGGTAAGGTGTATTGCCAGCATCAAATGCCATCTGGCACACAACTGAGGCTCAATGAAGACTAGTACAGATGACTGTTCTCCAGAAGATTAATTCCAGCAAGTCGATGAATTTGGAATTATTGTGCCAACTCCAAAATGACTAAACTGTTTCTATCCCCGGTTCTAAGGTCCACTGGAAATTTGAAATTGTTCAACAAAGTTGTTTTACCCTTTCCATCAATGTCTTGTTGAGATGTAGAATGTTATCATCCACTCTTTGAGAAAGCATGTGCTCAAATATATTTGGATTCCATGCATTGTTTGACAGATCAGGTTATCCAGATATTGCTCAATGCAAGTAAAACACATTATTCAGATTACGTTCAGAAAGCCAAGACAGTTGGCTAATTGCTTTCTTCTGAATATTGGAGCAGATACGTATCTACCTTTTCCTTTCACCCCCCAGATTTATACAGAATAATATTGCCAAATTCAAAACAAATCTCATTCTTCTTTGTTAGTCCGTTGGATTGAAGATGATGTGCTTCCAGTTGATTTGTGGGTTTTGAAATGGCAGATAAGACAAATGCATAATCTGCACATGATACTTGGTACACCAATTAAGTCTGGTTTTGGTTGTTTGTGTGCTCTCTCCAATGTCTTTATTTTACATGTGCATGTTCTCCACAAAGTTTCTTGATTGTTTGGTACTTTCCTGGATTGACCTTTTGCCATTTTGGTTAGTGACGTGCCAGGGACTTCCATGAGTCAACAAGGATCCCTAAAACATCACTGTTTTCCTGGGAGTTTTCTGCTGCAACTGAGTTCCGAGTAATGTAGTTGCTTCAGGAGTTATGTTTTAACACTGTGTCCTGCCAAATGGAGCTGGTTTTGAAAGTTAGCGCCTTGATGCTGGTTGTGTTGGCTTGGGAGAGGATACTGCTGTTGGACTTCCTTTCTTGCCATCAAAATTGGAGGATCTTCTGAAGGTATTGCTATCATTTTGGGAACCTGGTTCTCAAAAAATAGCTGAGAAAAGGCAAACAGACTTGCATTTACGTGATCTCAGATGGCGCAAAGCACTTTTGAAATATATTCACTATAGTAATGTGAGAAAAGTGACAGCCAGTTTTCTCAGAGTAAGGTCTTAAAATAGCAAGGTGATAATGACCAGATACTGGAGTTTGTATTTTTTTTTGTGAAGTTGGTTAATGGATAAAAATTGTCAAAGGCAAGGAATGACTCCTTTGCTCTTCAAAGTAGTGTTCTGGCTTATTTTAGAATGCATAGGAACAGGAGGAGTCCATTCGGCCCTTTGAGCCTGCTCTGCCATTCGTCACAATCATGGCTGATCATCCAACACAATAGCCTAATCCTGCTTTCTCCCCATAACCTTTGATCCCATTCGCCCTAAGTGCTATGTCTCGTTGCCTCTTGAATACATTCAGTGTTTTAATATCAACTACTTCCTGTGGTAATGAATTCCACAGACTCACCACTGTTTGGGTGAAGAAATATCTCCTCATCTCTGTCCTAAATGGTCAACCCCAAATGCTCATACTATGACCCGTGGTTCTGGACACACCCACCATCGAGAACATCCTTCCTGCAACTAACCTGTCCAGTCCTGTTAGAATTTTATAAGTCTCCGTGAGATTCCCCTCATTCGTCTGACGTCCAGTGAAAACAATGCTAACCTAGTCAATCTCTCCTCATACATCACTCCCCCAGAATCAGCCTGGTAAACCTTCGCTGCACTCCCTCGAGAACAAGAGCATCCTTCCTCAAAAAAGGAGACCAAAACGACACACAAAATTCTAGGTGTGGCCCTGTATAACTGCAACGAAACATCCCTGCTCCTGTATTCGAAACCTCTCGCAATGAAGCTCAGCATTATTCAGAGCCACA